ATATAAATTATATACGATATATATTATACTGTATATTATATAATACAAATTTACAAAATACAAACTCATACATAAATACAAGTTTGCTACAGCAGCCCTAGGAAACTAATACAGGCAAAAGAAAAGTTACATGAACCGAAGAAAGACTTGATTCTCTAAAAGTGTCAAATGGGTGCGAAGCAGGAATTTCAAAAACAGCCCAGTGGCAGTTTAGAGTCTCGTGCAGCGCTGAAACGTAAGATGGAGAAGTCACAACGCAAAGCCGTTAGTATGGAATCTGGTAGGACTTTGATTCCAGTCTCCACATCAGCAGTGATTGCTAAGCAGAGCGCTTACAGCGTAGTTGGCCAAGATGCCCAATATCAAAATCTTTAGCGGCAGCTCCCACCAGGATTTATCCCAGAAGATTGCCGACCGCCTGGACCTGGAGCTAGGTAAGGTGGTGACCAAGAAATTCAGCAACCAGGAGACCTGCGTGGAAATTGGCGAGAGTGTGCGTGGAGAGGATGTCTACATTGTTCAGAGTGGCTGTGGCGAAATCAACGACAATCTAATGGAGCTTTTGATCATGATCAATGCCTGCAAGATCGCTTCAGCCAGCCGTGTTACAGCAGTTATCCCATGCTTCCCTTATGCCCGGCAGGATAAAAAAGATAAGAGCCGGGCCCCAATCTCAGCCAAGCTTGTTGCAAATATGCTGTCTATAGCAGGTGCGGATCATATCATCACCATGGACCTACATGCTTCTCAAATTCAGGGATTTTTTGACATCCCCGTGGATAATTTGTACGCGGAGCCAGCTGTCCTCAAGTGGATAAGGGAGAATATCTCTGAGTGGAGGAACTGCACTATTGTCTCACCCGATGCTGGTGGAGCTAAGAGAGTGACCTCCATCGCGGACCGGTTGAATGTGGACTTCGCCTTGATTCACAAAGAACGGAAGAAGGCCAATGAAGTGGATCGCATGGTGCTAGTAGGGGATGTGAAAGATCGAGTGGCTATCCTTGTAGACGACATGGCTGACACTTGTGGTACAATATGCCATGCAGCTGACAAACTTCTCTCAGCTGGAGCCACGAGAGTTTATGCAATCTTGACTCATGGAATCTTTTCGGGCCCAGCCATATATCGCATCAACAACGCATGCTTTGAAGCAGTAGTAGTCACCAATACCATACCTCAGGAGGATAAGATGAAGCATTGCTCCAAAATACAGGTGGTTGACATATCCATGATCCTTGCAGAATCCATCAGGAGAACTCACAATGGGGAATCTATTTCCTACCTGTTCAGCCATGTCCCTTTATAATAGAATAACTTCGGAGTTATTATGTTTTATTTTAAAATAAAAATAAACCCAATCTTGCTCTTTGTTTTCCCTTGGTATTTGACGACAATTTCAGCAGAAGACTCCACTTGCTCCATGTAGCTTTCTACATCCCACATCAGGTACATTAGAGTTTATTTTAAATTGAGGAAAGATAGATCGAGATTAATTGCTGGGATGTCCTACCTTTTACAGCAAGAGCTCTAGACAACCCCAAACCTAGATCTGGTTGCTGAGCCACTCATAATGCAGGAGCAGGCAGCTTCAGCTTGAACAGCCATTGGGTGGGCTCATGACTGGAGGCAGCACAGTACAGCAAATGCTTTTTGGGAGGAAGACTAATCTATCATCTATTTGGAGATTATGTATCTTGTATTCTCCTTTGTGCCTATTCTTTTCGATTGGTATTACCTTAAACTATCTTGATGGTTTCCTGGCCAAATATTCTCTTGGGCCCAAATGATCAGTGTACCATAGTCTTCTGGAACTCAAACTCGTTTCCTACTATGTAATGCCTAAAATTTACATTAAATGATTTTGCTTTTCTTAATTTTGCCTAGCCTACTACCACCACAGTAATAGATTTTAGGGAGCAGTGTGTTTGGGTTAATTTAAATACTTAATTATCATCTTCCTTCCTTGCATCTGTTTGGCCTCTCAAATGACCTGACATTTCTGTTAAAAAGACTTATGTCATTGTCTCTTTAGGGGAAACTAATAAAGTGTCTGTAGATGTGTGGGGGGAAAAAATCTCCCACCTAGACATATCTATGAAATTTGAGCTTCAAGAATATAGAGAAAAGCCCTAAAAGTCTCTAAAAGGTAAAATAAAAACAGGATAGCTTTAAAGAAACAATATTCAGATTGCAATCAAACTTCTCATTTGAACATCTGGGCAGTCAGCAAGGTGGAAAACTTCTTTGCAGTTCTTCAAAACCAAAACCAAACTGGTTGCTGTCGAGTTGATTCTGACTCATAGTGACCCTTTAGGACGGAGTAGAACTGCCCCATAGGGTTTCCAAGGAGTGCCTGGTGGATTAGAACTGCCAACCTTTTGGTTAGCAGCTGTAGCTCTTAACCACTACACCACCAGGGTTTCCTTTGCAGTGCTAAGGGAATATTGTTTTGAACCTATATTTCTGGCCCCACTCAAGCTATCCTTCAAATTTGAGGACAAAATTAAAGCATTTTTGTATATAAAAGGAGCCAGAAACTACCACTAAGAACGCTTCCTGAAAGTGTTACTTGAAGACACTGAAAATAAAAAATAAATACAACCAAGAGGAACACATGGAATAAAAGATATAATGGTAAGCAAAGACATAAATGAAACTGAATTAGAAATATAATTTTTCATGAAGTGATTGTGAAGATTTTGTCAAAATTTCAGGTATAATTTACACAAAAATTAAGCCACAACATAAAACAATTTTTTTTTTTTTAAATCTGAGAAAAAAATTCCAAATGATGTCCATAAAACATGTGAAGTTTATGGGCGGGGGGGTAGTGTAAGTATACTAAGAATCTTGTTTAGTTTGGGAGGGAGATTATTGGCAACAATTAATTATTGACATTAGAGAAAAACCTGAGTTTAAACACATTTTCTAAAATTAAAAGGCAACCAAGAGATGAAAAGAAAGAAATAACTTCCAAACTTCTAGACAGAAAAAAAAGGCAGAAGCAAAACTAAACAAAGTCTACTGAAAATAGGATATAAATGGGAAAGAAAATATAGCAAACAAATATTTGTTACCACAAAGTCAATAGGTTAAGTTAGATTTAGACAGATTATTAGAGGAGGTAGTAAACATTTGAATATAAAGGGATGGAGGAAAATATACCAAGTAAATGCTAACAAAGACTAAGAGTGATACTTTCAGTCAAAGTAAAAATGAAATATGCTTTGCTGATTAAACTCACCAATAAGTTATAATCATCATGAAATTTATGCACCTAACAATTCAGCATTGAAAAAAAAAGAAAATCCATAACTATAAGATTATAAGAAGAAATGGGGAAAATTTGAACAATATTCTCTTACAAATCAAATGATCAAGAAAAATATTATTACAAGATTTAAATAACTTCATTATTACACTTAATTTAATAACTACATGTAGAAATTAGTCAGACAAATCACATTTTTTCAAGCATGCGTGAAACATATATTGACAGTATAATACACTATAAAAACTTAATAAATGTTTAAAAAGGAATTCATATACACCATATATAGTAAAGTACCTATACTGCAATCATTTTGACAATATTGTGAAAAAATAAAACTCAGTAAAATAGGACTAGAACAAAACTTTTTAAATCTGATAAAGGAAATCTACTAGAAACGTGCAATGACATACTTTAAAAATCAGAAAAATTTCTAAGCCAGTAGAATAGGACAAGAAAAAGAAATCAGGTATCAACACTGGAAAGAAAGAGGCAAAAATATCATTATTTGCAGACGTAATGACTGTCAACCAAAAAAATCCAACTATCAAAAGAAAAACTATTATAATTCATGAGAGTTTAATAAAATGACTACATGTAAATTAGTAACTAAAATAAGGTATTAAATTTAGTAGAAAATTGTATAGTTTTTATTTTCAACTCGTTGGCCAATTCTTCCAGGTAATGGTGATGTTTATGATGCACTTTTTAATGTTAGTTGCCATGTGTTAATATCTACCTTCTTGATGATCTTAACCTTCTACTTTCTTGATTATATCCTATAAAGCATCTTGAACTTCTTCAAAGTTTCTACTTTAAGACCTATTATAATACTCTTTCTTTGCTTATATGAAGCATAACCATCATTATTATTTTCACACATTTAATCAGTCTTTATGGGACAAAATTGTTCTCCAGAATTCCAAATAAATGAAAGAGAAGCCACAGCATAGAAAACAACATATGATACAGAACATATTCACCATGAACCCCTTGCCATCGAGTCTATTTCAACTCATAGTGGCCCTATAGGACAGAGTAGAACTGCCCCATAGGGTTTCCAAGGCAGTAAATCTTTCCATATCTTTCTCCAGCAGAGCGGCTGGTGAGTTCAAACCATTGACCTTTAAGACCTTCCTTGCTTAGAGATCTCCTCAGCCAGATATCCAAGTTCGTCACTAAAAATTCTACCTTCCACCAAACATTTGAATATAATTCAGACAAATTCTTTGCCACTGCATAAAAAGCATTGTTCTTCCTCCATTGTCCAATCACATGTTCGTCATTTTCTTTTAAAGCCTCACCAGAAGCACATTTAATGTTCACATTGCTAGCGACATTCTGTTGCTGGCACCATATGTATTCTCCAAGAGGATACAGACTTTCTTTATAGCTCTCCTCACTTTCTTCTCAGCCCTCATCAGAATTGCATTGATGTCCATAATTCTATCAACAGTCTCTTCAAGGCAATCTAGGGTTTTACTATCACGTACCTTAAAACTCTTCCAGCCTCTACCCATTACTCAATTCCAAAATCACGTCCACATTTTAGGTATCTGTTAGAGCAGCACCCCACTCCGCTGGTCCCAAATTCTGTCTTAGTTATCTAGTGCTGCTATAACAGAAATACCTCAAGTGAATGGCTTTAACAAACAGAAATTTATTTTCTCACAGTTTAGCAGACTACAAGTCCTAATTCAGGGTGCCGGCTCTAGGGGAAGGCTTTCTGTTTCTGTCCACTCTAGCAGAAGGTCCTTGTCTCTTTAGCTTCCGTTTCCTTGTTCCTTGGAAATCTCCATGTGGCTTGGTATCAATCTTCCTCCATCTCTGCTTATAGCTTGTGTTTAATCTCTTTTATATCTCAAAAGAGATTGACTCAAGATACACTGTACACTAATTCTGTCTCATTAACATAACAAAGATAACCCATTCCCAAATGGGATTATAACAACAGGCATAGAGGTTAGAATTTACAACACATATTTTGGGGGGACACAACTCAATCCATAACAACCTTCTAAAGATTATTACAAGATTGATAGCCATTTTCTTATCAAAGTGCTCTCTTCACTTGATTTTCTATGACACTATAACACAGAGGCTTTCATCCCAACTGTTGGCTTTTCTCAAACTTCCTACCCACCATCCCATCGGCACAGCTCATCTTCAACCACTGTGAGCAAATCCTAAGATTTAAGGTCTCTGCTCTTCTTATCACTTTAGCTCTTGCTTACTTTAATATCCTCCTACACGGATTCCATCTGCACTTCTGCCAGACATATTTTCCTAAAATATTAATCAAAATTTACCATGTTTTTAAATTGTTTACAGAAAAATCTATTCTTCATTTCAATGCATGACTATCAGCAACTCCCAATATGAACTTTTCACTCTGTTTTTATTGATCTATTCAGTGCCCTGACCTGAACACACTTACAAATCTCTGCTTTCATTCCTTTACACGCATTCACCTAACCTCCGATACTCTCTCTGATATTCTCCATTTAACGGAATCTTACTTTTCTTCAAAGCCCATTTCTTTTACAAACATCTCAATACCTGAGCTCTCTCTCCCCTGTACTCCTATTGTCTGCATCACTCTTTGCAATTTTGCCTTCTATTGTGAAATTTGTTCACATGGTCTGAAGGACTGGGAATATTTAATATATTCTTTGCATCTTCAAGATATCTTATACAGTGTTTAATGTATACTAAGCAGTCAGTCACTGTGCTTTGGTCGATTTTCTTTTTAATTGATATCAGCCTTAATCACCGTAAGTCTCACTTGAAGGCAACCAGAAACAACAACAACAATGGGTAAACCTAGCATTAGATAAGTAGGTGCCTTAAATACCAATCTAAGAATTTTTCATTTATTTTTAAAATGCAATGAGGAGCGTGGGTAGCTTTTTCAGCAGATTTTCAATACAAGACTGATACAATAAAAAAGAGTACTTTCAGGAGAGAATGCAGCAGCATTGTGCAAAATGAACTAGAGGGAGAAGTCTGATACTGAGAGATCACATGCGTCTAGG